TTATCAGATAAATCATCATTATTAAGTAATATATCATCATCATTATCATCATCATTAACATCGACACCTGTTGATGATGTTTCAATAAAAGATTATTGTGAAACAAGTTTAGATGATATTGTACATTTAAATGGAATAATAACATTTGAAAATTTATCAAAACATATTAAACGTACAAGATCAAGTGGATATATAAAAAGAAAAAAACATTCTTTAAAAAAACGTAAAAAACAACGATCAAAATCATGTTGTTTATTAACATTATGTAATTCAACAAAGAAAAAATTAAATCGAAATAAGAAAAATGCTACATTTACTAAAATTTTTGCTCCAATTGTTACATTAAAAGATTTAATTTCAAGTTCATTTTCTTTATCATCATCAACATCATTACCAAATGATAATAAACCGGTTGCACCATTATCCGAACCACCATTAACTTCAACAATAACCAATGAAACACCACAATCATCATGTAAATCTTTATCATTTGATCCACCATTATCAACAATTTCAACACCAAAATCTTTTCTTGTACATTCCTATACATCTGTATCTAATTATCGGATAAAACCAAATATGAATGTTCGTCAACATTCACTTGAAGAAGAAATTCATAATGAAGAATGTCTTTATTGTTCAAATGAAAATACTTTATCATTAAAAATTGATTCAAATAATAATAATAGTAACAATAATAATAATTTTGAAAATTTATCACTTCAATCAATAAATCTTTTACATGCTATTGAACTGTATTTATCATCAAATAATTCTTCATATGAATTATTTGATTTATCATCGATATCATCTGAACAACATGTTACAGTACAAGAAACAAAACAATTAAATTTATGTGAAATCAATGAAATCATTTATGCTATTCATTCTGATATTGAAAATGATAATGAACGTAATGAAATACTTGATTCTCTTGCAACATCATTACGAGAAGTAGCTGAAGAAATACCACTTGCTAGACAAGAACAACAACCAATAGTTGTTCCTCATCTTGCTCCTGCTGAATTACCTGAACAACTTCCTGGTTTTGGTCAAATTTTAGTTCGAGCAATTATGTATGATATTGTGATGAAACTATTTAGTTTTTATTTACTTTTACTTATGTGCTATGGACATTTATTTTAACGAACTTATTTATTTTTATTTCTTTATATGTATACATAACATATAGATTAACGAAATATATATATATATATTGTAATGAATGAGGCAAAACATCTAACGACGAATAAAACATTTGTTTTTCTTTATTTTTTTTTCTTTGGTATTTTTTATTTATTTGAATCTAGGTTAATAATCAAAGTTTATTTGGTGCTCATTTGGATGATGCTCAAAAATGGCTTAGCATACCAAATGGAAATATTCATTTACTTGTTTGTCATGGATTTAAATCTAAAGAAGTATATTTAATAATTTTTTCTTTTCAACAATTATTTCATTTTATATAAATGATGTTTTGACTTTTTTCTTTTTAGTTGACTTCTGTAAATAGTCCAACTTATAATAAAAGTAAACAAACAAAACCAAATGATACCATATCACCTCCAATTCCTACTCGACCTATATTAATACAACAACAACAACAACAGATTTCACCAATATTATCAACAAAACCGAATGGAATATTAAATTCATCATCTCCGAAAGATATATCGATATCGCCAAAAGTCATTAGTCCAAATGTAAATTTTCGATATACCAAAAACAAAATACTTTTTTTAATGATTCTTTTTTTTTAGTCTCAACAAGCACCACCACCACCTGTTCCTGTTAAACCAAAACTTCGTCCATTGAATACACAATTTGTACCAATTAACGGTGATAATCAAACAACAACAACAACAACAACCACAAAATATAATTCAACTTCTCCACGAATACAACCACAAAATGGTTTTGAAGTTGATGATGTAAATTTTATAATATGAAATTTTATTATGTCATCATCATTTGTTTGTTTTTATTTAGCTTGATATATCTATAGCTGAATCAGAAAAATCTTTTAATGATAAAAAAAAATTTTTTGAAAGTGGTTTTAAAGAATCTGGACCAAAACCAAAACGTATGTTTGAAAATCTTTTTATTTTTCTTTTTTTTTTTTTACAATTCATTTATTTTGATTAGCTCGTCAATTTAAATATATTAATGAACATGAATTATTACAAATGAAACAAGAAGAAGGTAAATTTTATACAGTTGTTCGAATTCTTTAATTATCACGATAATTGAATCAGGTATTTGACTTTTAATAAGAAAAAATTAATTTGAGAAATAAAGCATTGTACTACGTTCCCCAATCATTTATTTGTTAAATAAAAACTCTTTTCTTTTGATTGAAATAATCAGAGCAAATAGTGTCACAACATTTACTAGACGAAAAAAATTCTTTGACAGTTGTTAGTTTTTATTGACAAATATTCAATTATACTCTTAAATTCTATTTCGATAGACTTTTATTCTATATAGAAATTCGCTTTTATCTGTCTTAGTTTTTAAAGCTTTATCTCTTGAGAAAACATGTTCAGCAATTCTATAGAATTCATTTGCCTGTCATGTGTTAAATATTGTTCACTTTCCTTTTTTTCAACAATTCAAATAGGTAAAATAAGTTTTTACGAAGAATTCAAAAAGAAATAAATTTGTTCTTTCATTCAGTTTATAGAATATAATCAGAATTATGAAAAAACAACATACATTACCATATATATGTTTTCTATAGATAGTATATAATTTTATAGTAAATAAAACTTTTAAAGAAATCTTTACATTTATTAAAATGATGTTTGTATAAGTAGACTTCTTATATAAATTTTGATGTGTTATTAAGTTAAACACATTTAAAATGACCTAGTTATTTGATAATTCATATGGATTATAATAACATAAATTTTGAGTAAATTACTGAGATATTTCTTTCGAAATTGATGTTTTATAAAAATAAAAATAAAAAAGAAGAGATTACAAGGTCAATTATGTTCATAGTCTTATCTTAGCCTACGAAGTTTTTCTTCATTTTGATCTTATTGTACAGTTTTTTTTCATCGTAAATTTACTCTTATGCAGCAGGATATGTTTACTGTGTATATTTCTATTATAAAACACAACATATAATGATTAAATTATTTCAAAGAAAGAAAATAGAATGCTTTGTATAAATATATCAACAAATCATTATCGCAAGCAAAAACACGCTCGCTATTGATTCATATGTACTTGAGTCTTGCGTTTATCTTATCTTAATCATCTTATCACGAATATTTTCGTCTAATTTCTCATTCAAACGATCAATTTCATTATGTATCACTTCAAAAACAATATTTTGCCATTAAGAATGTCTATTAATGGACAAATATTGGTTTTTAATAAGATTAATCTTTTCTGTGGTGACGTTGATTGATTCATTTGAAAGTTCTAGTAGAAAATTTTGATCAGACAACATATTCGTTTTGAAAGTTCACAAGTACAACATAGAATGAAGTCGACTTAACTCTACAAGATGGGTTTCATATTTCAAAACATATTAATCACTAAGACCTTGACTTCATGGCGAGGACTTTGATGATATGCAAGAAGTAACAGAGGGCAACCTTTCATGTTGAAAAATAGAACAGTAGCTTGTAAGATAACAAAATAATAAACAAAAACTTGTTTTTTACCTACTTCTGTTGAATATGGTTTTCTCAAGGGAAAGAAAATGTATGAATCATCACTGCAATATATGTAAACTAACTGAGGGTATGTTGATGTTTACAATTAGGGTTTATTACTGTACGAATGCATTCAGGATATCAAATCAATATTATAAAGAAAAGTGGGACCTTGTAAGGGCAACTACAATGGACCGTCATAAGTCTCGCATCACTTTTTTGTTTTGATTCGCATTTCAAAAATACACGACCTAGATTCAAATTCCTTTTTACCTTCGGGTAGTGGGGCTCGAGTACTATATGTATGCATATGTTTGAAAGGAATAATCTTTGAATCAAAAACACAGGTAAAAAAAACAAATTTCAGTAGTACGACAAAAAGTACTCAAAAGAAAAAGGACAAGTTGATATAGCTGTAATGATTTTGAGTAAGATCCTAGTAATACAAAAATTGAATAAATATTTGTTTGATATTTTTACATGAGTCGATAGATCTCGACGAGCTCTATAAAATTGATTATATTAAATTTTTTTTAGAACCCTTTTCTATCACAAAAAGATTACAAAATAATCGCATATTTTATTTGTTCTATATGAAAAATCGAGAATTTTTTTATACCAGAAAAGCATAAAAATACAATTTTATTGTAACTTTTGTCCCAGAAAAGGGTTCTAAAAAATTTTAATATAGACAGTTTTGTAGAGTTCGTTGAGATCTATCGACTCATGTAAAAATATCAAACAAAAATCTATTCAATTTTCGTACTACTAGGATCTTACTCAAAATCATTACAGCCATATCAGCGTGTCTGTTTTTTTTGAGTACTTTTTGTCGTAGTACTGAAGTTTGTTTTTTCTACTTGTGTTTTCGATTCAAAGATTATTCATTTCAAACATATGCATATATATAGTACTCGAGCCCCGCTATCCGATGGTAAAAGGAAATTTGAATTTATGTCAAGTATTTTTGAAATGCGAACCAAAACAAAAAAGTGATGCGAGACTTTTGACGTCCACTGTAGTTTTGCCTACGATGATTATAACTCAATACATTAATTAAAACATAATATAGATACCATGATATATTATTCAAAGCTTTTTTTGTGTAAGACTCAACCAGGTTTATTATGTTTCATACGTTAAATTTTTCAGAGGATTTTTCTGCAATTCTATTGTCTGTTAAGCATAATGACTTTGAACAAAATTATTATAATAATTGAATTCTATTTATAGAATAACAATAATTTGAAAGCTAATAAGTTAATAATTACTAGTTCAGTCATATGTAAATTTTTCTTTTTTTGTTTTTTATTAGAGCAAAAAATCAAATCAATGAGTCCTACGGAATTACGTCAATCTCGAACAATGTATGATAATGATACGAATGATTCAAAATCAATGCAAACAACATTATCTCAATATCAAACACCAACTTATCTTGCTAAGTAGGATTTTCTTTTCATTTTTCTTTTATAAATAGGAAAAAGATATAAAATCTCTACATATTAATTGTTTTGTTAATTAACTAGAAAACTTAGGCAAATGTCATCATGGGGAAAACGTGTGCGAAAAATATCGCTCGCAAAATTTTCCCATTATTTGTGAGTGAAATAAAATCAGAAATTCAATTTTTTGGGGAAGCATAAAATTGATTATTTATTTTTCTTTTTTTTTTCAATAAAAAACAAAAAACATGTTCTTTTATTTTTTTAAAATTATAGACCTGAAGAAGATGATGTTGATGATGATGATAATGATCTTGTTCAACAACGACAATCAAGAAATGTTTCTTCTACTGCAAGGTAATTAAAATTAAAAAAAAGAAAAAGCGTGATATTGTATGCTTATATGTAAATTAGAGTAACCTTGTTCGAATGTAATACTGCTTCTGCTCATAATATGCTTTCGAAATTTGCTATTGGTAATTGATCCAATATAAGAAAACAATAAACTAATTATTGATTTATTCATTTTATTTTTTTAGCAGAATCTGGTATGACTTAATGGAAAATAATGAAACTAAAAGTGATTTAGTATAACAAAAAAAAAGAATCATCATCTATGCACAAAATATATAAAATGATCAACTTTTCTTACATATATATATATATATACATATATTTATAGAAATTATTCTTTGTGTATTGTATATAAATGGAGTTTTTCTTTTTGTTTCGATCTAATAAATTGTACTTTGAAGTTGTCATCTTGTTAAAAAATAAAATACAATTAAATATTGTTATTGTGCTTTTTTTTTTTTTTTTTTTTGAATTCATTCTTTCTTTTATTATTGTTTGCTCTTTATATACTCATATTCGTTCTTTTCTTTTCTTTTCTTCTTCAGTTTTTTTTTCTTCTTCTTCTAAAGTAAATTTAATGGGAATTCATTTATACACTTGTTTTTTGATTTCTATAGAAACTAAAAGTTATGTGTGTGTTGCTATATGACCTCCAAACACATATTCTTTTTCTTTTTTTGTATTTTTGCTCTTTGTTAATGATGAAAGGTGAAGAATTGAAAAAAGAAATGCGAGAAAAAAAAAACTGAAGAAGAAAAAAAAAGAAGGCTAGTTAGTTGCTGTCAACGACGTCCGACGGTGTTTCATTGTGTCGAACTATTCGGTTGTAACTTTTTTTGCTCGTTTTATTCCTAATAAATATGACATCGCAAAACGAAGTTGATGATATGATTAAACGTATACAAGCATCTAAAGGTGTACAAGGTAATGGTGATAAACTAAACATGTTACTTTATTTAAACCAATTACGCAGGCTTATAATCTATACTCTTCCTAATTGTTTTTTTTCTTATTTTTTGAAAAGGATTAATTATAATTGATTCGGAAGGAATACCTATTCGATCAAGTATGGATAATGAAACAACGTTACATTATGCAGCTTTAATTAGTCAACTAACTATTCATGCTAAACGTGTTGTTCGTGAACTTGATCCAAGTCAAGAACTTGAACAACTTCGTAAGAACGATGAACATATCTAATATTCTGTTAATTAAAAATCTACTTTTTGTTTTAATTATTTATGTTAGGTCTTCGTTCACACAAACATGAAATCATCGTTGCGCCTGAGAGTAAATATATCATGATTGTAGTTCAAGTACCAGAAGCTCTTTAATATAAAAAAATTATTTGTGTTTTTTTTTTTTTCTATTAATTAAATATAATTAAAAAAAAAAAAGATTTTCTCACCGTTGCAACATTTCCGACAAAAGAAAATTAGAAGAATTAAAAATTATGCTTCGTCAAGAACATAATCATGGTGTTATTGAATAAAAGACATGCAAAAAAATTTGAGAATGAAGATAGTAGTAATGTGACATTAATACAGTGAGAACCAGCTCATGTATTAATTAATCATTACTATTATGAACACTACTCCTATAACTAATGAACAAAAAGAAAAAAAAAAAAACCTCTGTCGATCTACGAACTGTAAAGAATAAAAGAAAGAATAGCCGAAGATGAAGAAAAATCAAAAGAGTTTTCTAAAAAACAAAGTTTAATGATGACATTGTTGGAGTTAATAAACAATTGTATGAATCATTGTTTACACCAAATACATCATTAATGTCATCAATTGATGGAAAATCATTAAATGATTTGAGTTTCTCGAATTCAGTTATATTATTAAAAAATGGAAATAATTCATTTATCCAACCAATTTCCTGTATTGGTGATACTGATGATGGTGAACTATCTGATGAATTTGTATGTGATTCATTGAAATCATTATTTAATTGAGGAGGTTGTTGAGCTTGATCAACAATTTCAATTGGTTCCCTTTTCATAACTTGATAATTTGTTCGACGACGTTTTCGTCGTTGTGGTAATATTTCTACTGGATAAACTGTTGAAATTTCATTTAAATTTATACATTGTTCATTTATAGCTAAAATAAAGATGAAAGAAAATATCAAAATTAAAAATTTCATATGAAAATTATTTACATGATAAAATATTTGCTGTTGCTAAATTATTTAAATTTATATTCGACACCAATGTTGATTCTTGTTGTATAGTAGTTTTTAATCGTTCAAAATTTTGTTTTCTTGCATATTCATCAAATACATTTTGCGCCAATGGACTACAAAAACAACAAATCAATAAAGAAGATTTTCATTCTCTTGTTTGTTGTGATTTTTTTTTTGTTTTCATATTAATTTTAGTTTCTTACTCAATTAGTTGTGCCAAAAAGCCAAGCTTCATTGCTTTTCGTCGACCTTCAACTAACATATGAGTATTGCAAAGAAAAGTAAGACGATCACCATTGTAAGTATATAAATCAAGTACATTCATCATTGTATAATGTTGACCTAAGACTAAGATATAATAATAATTAAATTAATAACAGAGTGTTTTTCATCAATTAAATCATACTGCAATTCTGTCGTGTTTGTTCGAAAATATTTATATGTTCAGCAGGTAAAAAACGATTGATTGATTGATCAATTATGTCTCCTGCTTTATAGCCCAATAATGATTCAGTACTAAAAAAAAAAAAAAATTAGAAAATATTAATATAAAATTAAATGATTGAGAAAACAAAAAAGAAACTAACTTGGGTGATATTTCACTAATATATAATTGATCAGTAAGTACGAATCGAAGTATTTTTGAACTTGTTGAACCAATACTATTTGTTGGAATATTTGGTGTACTTGAAAGAATTTGTTCACATCGTGCAATAAACAATGGTTCATGCTGCTCTTCGTTCTCCTCATTATTGATAAAAAAGAAACGACCTGTCATTAACATTGTCTAATAGGGCAAAAAAATATTCATTAGTTTTTTTATTAATATTTCTTTTGAATAAGACTTACTTTTGTTTCCGTATGATTTCGACTAGGTCGTTTTCCACGTAGTAAATTCCATGTACAAATAATTTGTTGTTCAATAGTTGTTGATGTTGAAAGAACTTTACGAATAGATTCATGATCCTCTTCACTTACACAATTATAAATGTTTGTCATTTGAGGATAAAGTGAACGCTTGAAATATAAAAGAAAACAAAAAAGATCATAGTAAAAAGATTATTATCTCATTATTTCTACATACAACATTTTTACGTAAATAAGTTTCAACATTATCACTCATTAAGATTATTCGACCGGTTGTATTTAATACAATAATGAAACCATTAAGGTCATCTTCTATAGAAAAAGTTTCAATACCAGATGCTAATTCAACATTTCCTAATAGATAGATTAGATAATTAGTTTTTTTTTTTTTTTCTTTATTTTTATTTTAATTAAACTTACTATTAGGTACATTAGAAGGCCAATATTTTTGCCTAAGAATGCGAGCCAGTGTTAAACTAAGTATGTCATTTTTATTTAATTTATTGTCAACATCATCAATAGTAGGATCTTTGATAAGTTGACCTAATGCTTCCAGAGCTTGATTTGTTTGTCGACGACGTTTATGTGGTGTACTGCTACATTCTGTCACAGAATTTGCAATATCATTAGCCGCCAACAATGAACGCTGAAATATGATGATTCATTCATCATCATTACATAAACATAAAATATGTAAACACAATTTACCTTGAGAGTGCTTTGGTGCGACATGCGGTCGACGCGAAAGTCGTTCAACGACAAATATGTCTTCGAAACTGCCAGCAGTTGAAGAAACTACGAAACACGAAGGACTAGTGCTTATAAAAAATCTGCACACTCTACAGCAATGCAAAAGAAAAATGACGATAGTCAAAGAGCATATAGACATAGCTCCTTTTTTTTCCTTTTTCTCTATTTCTCTCTCTCTCTCTCGCTCTGTTTAGGTTGTTCTCTTGTAGTTTTTTTTCTCTTCCTTTTGTCGTCAATAATGGCGAGATTTTTTATTTCGTCGTTGTTTTTGTATGTCTTACCTGTAAAAAAATATGAGGCGATTTTTTTAATGTTGCAATGACGTCGACCACCCACTAGTGTATAATCGATATTTTTCGTCGCATACCCCTTTCCTTTTATTTGCTGTGTGTACAGTGATGCAACTAATCAAAAAATATTACTTGTATAAAGAAAAAAAACATATTTAAATATTAGCATATTCTATGATTCAACAATTTTATTGACTCATTATCTTAAAACAAAAAGTAAAAGCCCTGACTTAATAAGTGTCATTGAAGGTTCAGCAATTAGTTAGATGAAGTAAACAAGTGTCACAATAGTATAAATCATGTAGATGACCAAGTTGAAAACTGCGTTTTAAAATATAATTGGAGTTATTTATGTATTTTCTATATTTATATTTGTATATAAAGTAATATTTCATACTTGATTAGTTTTTAAATATTTTTGAGCTAATATTCAATTTAATTTACTATTGATTTCTCAATGTAATACATAAAATAACGAGCAAATGAAAGGAATAAATAATAATAATAATAAACAAATTATAGATACTCTTAATTTAATTTTTATTAGCATTAGGTATAAATTAAACACGCAAACCTTTCTTATGTTTGAATAGAATTATGAATAATTTGTCAGGAACAATTTTGAAGGATGACTAAAATATTGATGTTACTAATAGATTAATGGATTTATATTGATCTGACATATTCTGTTATTTTTTTTGATAATTACACAATAAGTACGTAATTTATTGATTACAGCGCAACCAATAAATTATTTGAATAATAAATGACATAATTGGATGTCAAAATTCAAATCTTCTTTAATGATTAGCCTTTATAAAAATCTCAACAAAGACTAAATATAGCCAACAACCATCTTTTAAATAAAATAGTTTTTTTCTCTCTTTTTTACTTCTATTAGAATTCAAGGAGACATTCATCATAATCTTTTTTTCATTTACAAAGTGGATACTCTTCCATCAAAAGAAACCTCTATGCACAATGACATGCGTATTACGCCTGGTTTATTTAACATTATTAAAGATAAAACAAAACTTGAAATAACAGAAGTTTAATACTCTTTACACAAGTTTACTGGATTAATATGTATACATAAAAATATAGAAGG